CTGGGGGGCCGGGGGGTGGGGCAGGGGAGGTATATTTTAATGATAACAGCTTCAGTCATGTGCACACACACAGTACTTGATTTAGAATCAGTGGCTTAGTGTGGTGTTCTGATGTCTGGTCAGGGCTTTAAAACTATTCAGTGTGACTTTCAGAACGCATCTTCCTGTGCCTTACTTGTTCCTTCTATGGAGTGGGCTGATAGTAAGGTGTGCATACCTCAGAGATAAACCTGTACATCTTTTCTTCGGTGCTTTGAACTTCTTGGGAAAATACGTGGTAAATGCAAAATTCATTGAGATTGTGAGTGATAAGATTTGTTTCTCCAGAAGTTATGTTTACATATGCCTTGTTTGCGTGTGCTTTTACTCACAATTTGTCTTAAAAGCATACTGTATAATTAATTCTGTATATTGGATAAAGACTTCCATTGTTCATCTCTATTTTTAAATTCATTTCAGAAGGACGAGTACAATATACATTTATAGCTTTATATTTTATTAAACAAGTAGATGTTGCTAAAATAGGTATATGCTTTCACCTTGCTGTGAGGATATTTTTCGAATTCTAAGTCTACATGTATTGTCCGATTTCATTTGTCTGTCTTCTTTAACTGCTCTAGAAATAAGAATAAAAAATTTTGAACACTTGAGATAGTCCTTCTCATGATTATATTTGCTTATAACAGAATTCAAATTTTTATAAAAAACAAAACAAAAACACTTTGCCTTCCTAGTTAAAATACATTTTTTTCTCATGTGGTCACTGTACAAGCCCCATCTTATAAAATCGATCCTTACAGATATTTAGCTGTAGATAACAGTTTTCTTGAAGGATGCTTATTTGAATCCCACTGTCACTTTCTATGTCCTTGCGGCTGAAGTCCACTTCAAATCCATCACTTGGACCTGCCTCCCCATTGCCCTGGTTGTGGTGATCAGCATCCCTACTCTGGCCCACCAACAGAAACACCTACCTGATTTCTTCTGCTCACCTTTCTCCCTCCACAACTGTTCATAGTGGTCTTTTCAAAACCCAAGCCCAATCATCACCTCGCACCCCTACTTCTATGACTTCCCATTGCTCTGAGGTAAGAGATCCAATTCCTCTTAGAAAGTCTAATATACTAATATACCTACCATAGGAACCAGCCAGCCCAGGCAGGTGTGTCCCCTGGAAGGCATGAAAACGGGGACACAGCAGAAACCTGTATACCTGTCGTCATTGAAGCACTTTTCACAGTAGCCCCAAAGTGCCCGTCATTAGATGAATGGATAAGTAAACATGCTATATACCTGTATCACATGGCCTTGAAGAAGAAAGGAGACCTGAGGCACGCCACATAGCAATGAGAAAGAACGCCATGCTGGGTGAACTGTGTCGAGTCCCCACAGGACAAAGAGTGCATGATCTCCCTGAGCGGTGACAACCAAGCCCCAGACCATGAGTGCGAGCGAGCGGGAGGAGCCGCCTGGTGAGTACATTCCGGGAGGGGGATCTTTTGGGGAAGCACAGTGAGACGCCCCGGCCCTGGTCTTGTCAAGACAGAAACTCTGCTGAGAGACATTATCACTCACAAGCTAAAAAGCTCCAATCCCTTCAACTGGGTTCTAGGGCTCTGCGTGGGGTTAGCCACCTACCCACAGGCCTGAGCCACAACAGTGTCCCTTTTCTGGAAGCTTCTGGTCTCCAGCTACTCACTTCTGACAGTCATGCCTCCTCCTTCATGCTGTCTACCCAGGAGGGTTTGCACCTGCGCTTCTTCCGCCTGCAGACTTCCACCTGGCACACTCTTCCTTCACCTGTACTCCGACTCACCACTGGAGCCCAGCCCTAGCTTCGGGGCAGTTCTCTGGTGACACACATCCCCCAGAGACTGACTCTGGGAAGGGAATTCCCACCAGAGTGATCTCTGAAAGCCGGGCTACCAGAAGAGACCCATGCAGCATGGGGCAGTGAGATGGGCCGGAGGAGGGGAAGGGGCCAAGCCAGCAAGACAGGCTTACAGAGGAGGTCCTGCCCCAGCCTGAGCCCTGGGACACTCTGCGCCACGAATTCGCCACTGTTTGTCCTCCGCGTGGCAAGGCATGGCGTGTCTCTACGTATATGATTCCAAAAGTCCCTGGGGAAATTCCATTATCTTTCCATTCCATTTTTCCTCCCCGCAGACTTTATGGAATGTCCCCTCCTCCCATCATGTGTTTCTTTTTTCTTCTTTTTTACTCCCTGAACACCACCATCACTCTCCTCAAATACCTTCAACCGCTTAATGCCCCCAACAGGCCCAGGAAGGATGTGCCGATGCTGTCCTCCTGGCCAATGAGAAAGAAACCAAGGTTGAGACCTTAAACAACTTTTAATTGGGCTTTACAGTTGGGGAGGGGGCAGAGCTATGACTCCCTGGTTGTAGAAATGATAACCTGAGAGTCATGGTGCCCAATGAGGCTAGCACGTTCCCCAGTATCATCGAGGGTCAGTCATGGGCGGCCTTCCCCTTCCCCTTAGGGCTCAAGTTCACATTCAGAACTCGCTGCGACAAGGGTCATCAAGAACATCTGTCACTCGCTGTCCCTTCCCAGTCCTCACTCTGTCTTCCCCCAAGGCTGACTCACTCCTTCAGCTTAAGCAAAAAGCAAACCCCACGGGTGTTTATGGGAACCCAGTTGTTGACTAATACAAAGGGCATGAAGTCCAGGTGACTTGTGTGATGTCCAGGTAATCGTTCTGAGAGCGGGAAGGAGGAGGAAAGAGAAGGGAAAGCAGGAAGGCGGAAGGTTAGATTTGAGAGAGATCAAGGGACTTCCTCAAACGTGTGGTAAAGATTCCACAGGTCAGCAGTGAACCAAAAATCACATATGGGGCCAGGACTTGCCCATAGGACAAGTGGAGAGTGGAGCTGCACTGTGCGCACCCCTCGTCCGAGGGAAGCCGGCGTGTCACTCACAGACAGGTTGAGTAGGAGAGACAATGTGCTGCGCAGGCAATGAGAGCCAGTGGCTGGCACACGGGGACCCTGGTCTTGCCTCATTTCTCACACACTTCTCAGCGAGACCGTCTCCTGCTGTCCATTGGGCCATTCTGGGATTTGAAAATGTGTGTTTCTCATACGGCACAAACCCTACAATAAAGCACCGCTTTGGGTTATGCTTAGCCAAAAGAGCAAGGGACCGTCCCCCAACAGGGGATGCTGGCCCATCATTCAAAGCCCACTGCGCTCTGTGGGTGATCTTAGGGTGTGGCGTCAGGGTAACTCAATGCAGCTTGCAAACCACGTAGTTGACTGCAGAATCTCAATCACCCCATGCATTCATTTTGTAATGAAATATCAGTGGCCGCCAGGCCGCCAGGCCTGGGATTAAGATAGACTGTAGAGCTGTTCAGTGGGCCTGGGCTTCAACCCTGAGGCAGCCATTTCCTAGCTGTGTGGCTTAAAAAGAGAGACTTACCTCTCTGAGCCTCAGTTATGAAACCGGGGCTAACGTAACTGATCAAGACGTGTTGTTTGTGAGGGTTAAAATCAAAATCAACCACAACTGCTAGCCATTGAGTTGACTGCCTCGCCATCACCCCTAGAGGACAGAGTGGAACTGCCCCTGTGGGGAGCTCTTTAAAGGCCTAGAACGCCTCTCTTGCTCTTACAGAGTGACTCACGGTGTTGAACCGCTCACCTTGCAGTTAGCAGAAAGTTGGAAGTGTACCTAGCTCAGTGCTTGGCTCCGGGCAGGGACGATGTGAAACACCATTTCCATATCAAAGGTGTACAACTGGGAACAGCACCTTTATTAGGACAGAATGTCCAAGGGAAGGTCCAGGGTCCAACCTGAGAAAGTAGGAGACAGGAGAAGCCTCTAGAACTTCAAGTACAACCTGTAATGCTCACCTGTCAAAGGGATCTTGGGAGATTTGGTGACAAGGTGAAAGTCACTCTCCCCCCAGTTCGGGTGATGGAGCACGTTCTTGGCCACTCAGGGCAAAATCGGGGCAGAAATAGCCTGAAGAAATGCATTACAGCCCTCGGGAGCTTCTGACACACTGAGTCTACAGCTGTTTTCGTTGGTAGGTGTGGTCCAGTGTGTTCCGACTCCCTGCGATCCTACGCACCACAGAATGAAACACTGCCAGGCCCTGCCCCGTCCTCACACTT